GGGCCGGCCCGGAGACCGGCACCGGGGCCGCCCCGCCCGGCCGAGCACGGACTTGGCCCACATCCTCTCCTACGGCGGCACAGACAGGACTGCGCACCCCGTGCCCTAGACCGGGCCCCGCGCCTCGGCGGTGCCGGCCGGCCGCGGGGACCAGGAGCAAGAGACCCGGCCCAGCTCCGAGCGGGTGCTCGAGACCCCACCCCACTCGCGCGGGGCCCCTCCGCCACACGGAAGCACAAGGAGCTCGGCCTCCCGCAGCCCCGCCCTGCAGGACGCGGAGGCGTTTGGGGGGGCAGGAACGTGCTCTGGGTTTGAGGTTGACCTTCGCGTGGGTTTGGGTTTGTTCTCCAATTTGCATTTCTTTTGCAGTTTTCTAACCAATTGCACAACTCCGTTCTCGGGGTGGCGGCTGGGGGCATGGAGACAGTGGGATGTGGGGGGCTACAGCTGCAAACCCGAGCCTCCCCATCCCCGGAAGGCCCCTCTCAACCCGGGCTCCTGGCGTGTGTGGGTGTGTGTGCGTGTGCATGCCGTGTCTGTGTGCAGGGGCCGGGAAGAGGGGGGCGAGTGTGTGTGTCCCGCAGGGCTGCCGTGGTGTGCGTGGGGCGGGCCGCGCGTGCAGTGTGTGTGTCTGTGTGCGAGCGGAGCGGGGGCCCCAGCGGCCTGAGCGTTGGCTAAGCCAATGCAGGGCTTCCAGAAGGCCCGGGAGCCTCCGAGGTGCCGGTTAGGAGTTTGTTGGGGAGACGGGAGGGGTTTTCAGGTAGGGGTGCCGGGAGGCCTGCCCAGAAGTCATATTGGCGGCAGCTGCCCGAAGGGCTCAGGGGCCGGGGGAAGGCCGAGGTGGGGGGCCCCTGTAAATATGGCCCCAGGGTGGTCAGAGGGTCCCACGACACCCGTCCTTTTGTGACCTCCCCTTGACCTCAGCTGACCATGCATGCCACGTGGCCAGCTGAGTCCTGGACCTCTCTGGAGTTTGCCTCCCCCACCCGCTCCCCATCAATAAAACTGTTTACAACCACCGGCCCCCAGGTTCCGGGTCTGCTCTGCCTCCTGGGTCTGGGACCTACATAGTGTCGGGGCATTGCGGGCAGCTGAAAGGATTGAGGCTGGGTCAGGGCAGTGAACAGCTCTAAGGAGCTCAGTGTCGGGGCCCCATTTCCACGTGGGTGAGGGACAGTTTTTGGTGGATCCTTCAGCAAGTATTTGCTATGCATCTGCTATAGGTGGGCACAGATACCGCTATCCTCGTGGGGTTCACGGCCTGGTAGGGGAGACCGATCACATACAAGCAGATTAAAACTTGACTTGAGGCAGTGACATGTGTCGTGAAAAGCAAGCCAGACAATTGCGGGGGGGGGGGGACTGTGGAGAGGAAGGTGGTCAAGGAGGTGACATTTGAGCTGAAAGGAGGTGATATTTGAGCTGAAAGCACCCAGGCAGGTGTGCGGAGAGCATCCAGGCAGCACGCAGAGCCAGTGCAAAGGCCCTGGGGTAGCAACAAGCCTGGAGTACGCGTGCTTGGAGCAGCTTGGTGAGGAGGAGTGGATGAGGACGAGGAGGGTAGGAGCAGTCAGACAGGGCCCTGAAGGTAAGGAATAGGAATCTTCTGTGGTAAAATATACACACGCGCACATACAGTCATTTACCATTTGAGTCATTTTAAGTTCAAAGGCATCAAGTCCATTCACATGATTGAGCAACCACCACCCATTTTCGGAACGCTTCCCTCCCCCACCTGAGACTTTGTTCCCATTAGACGCCACCTCCCGCCTCCCAGCCTTAGGGATTTTGAGTGGGTCAGGGAGTCTTCCAGGGTCCTAAGCAGCCCTTCTTCCAGCCCGTGGTGACTGAGCACCCCTGTGCGCTGCGCCTGGCGTGGCCCAGCAGACAAGGAAGAGCACTGCTCCCCCTTCACCCTGGGAGACACTGACCCTTAAACCAAGAAACGCCAAACGCCTGGAGGCCCGTGTGGGTCTGTGGCTCAGCCTGCCTGAGAGAGACTGTGGATGTTGTAGGTGCCCGGCTTCATTTCACGTGTCACCTCCTATGGCAAAATGACTTAACACGCCCACTCCCTCACAGGGGAGCTTTGGTTTGATTTGATCTTACTTTGTGGGGAGAACACTTCCAGCAACTTCCAGCTGCACAACCCTTGTCAGCTGTCACCAGCCTCTACGCCAGGTCCCCAGAGTCCGCTCATCTTGTGCTGCAGGTTTGTGATCTTCCATCAGCATCTCCCAAGCCCCCCACACCCCCCAGCCCCTGAACCGCCACCCCACTCTGTGTCTCTGAGTCTGCTTCATCAGCCGCCTGGCGCCTTTGCTTTTTGGATTCCACATAAGTGAGATCATGGCATTTGTCTTTCTTCACTTAGCATAACGTCCTCAAGGGCCAGCGATGTTGTCACCACGGGCAGGATCTGCTTCCTGTGAGTGATGACCCTCTCTGCGCATGGAGGGACACCCACTGCTCTCACGGGGCGGGCCTGGAAGGCCCTGAGCTCCTGGACAGTGGGTCCGTGGCCTTTGGGTAAATATCCACGCGTGAGATCCCAAGGTCAGATGGAATTTCTTTCTTTCTTTTTTTTTTTGACCCTGATCACGCCCTTTTCACAGAGGATGTACCAATTCACATTCCCACCGCCAGGGCTCAAGGGTCCCTTTCCTGCACATCCTCACCGACACTTCTCAGCTGTTCTGGAGAAGAGTCAGCTCCCTTGGGTGGAGTGGCATCTCATTGTGAGTGATGTCAAGCACCTTTTCAGGGACCTGTTGGTCACCTCATGTCAGCCTCGAAAAGTGTCTCTCCAGTTCCTCTGGGCATTTTAATGTGCCCATGTCAGCTGCTTTCTGGCCTGTGTGTCTTCTCTGTCTGGATCTGCTTGGCTTATCTGTGTATTTCCACATGTCCCATGTGAGCACCGATGCCTGTGTGTGAGCGTGTGTCTTTATCTATGCCTGTGGCTGTCAGCCTGCATGTGTCTTACAGCCTGTGTCCCCACTCAGACAGAACCCTTAGTCCCCGTGCAGGACAAAGCCCCTCAGGATTGACTGGGGAGAAGAGGCCATGGCCAGAGTACGGGCATTCTGGGTAGTTAGCACAGCACCCCTGAACCTTAAGAACTAAACCAGTGGGCCCTCCCTGGTGGTGCAACAGTTTAAAGTGCAGCACTGTGAAGCTCTCTGCAGCCACTGCAGCCTGAGTTCGATCCTGGGCCAGGGAGTGACCCACAGGGCCCAGCAGACCTCTCCTGTCTCCCAGCTGCTCCCCTCAGCAGTGTCCTTCAGTACATCTTCCTGTTCTGGTCCCCACTCTGTCTCTGGTAAATCCTCTCATCCCCCACACCTCTGACCAGAACCCCAGTTTAGTATGCATAAATACATTTTTTTCTAAATAAAAGAGCTAAACCAGAACAAAAGTATCAAATGTCAAGCCCATTAGGCACATCCAAAGCATTTTTTTTAATTACAAAAGTTTATTTTTACATCATTTTGTACATTTTTT